CGCTAGTTATCAGAGAAATGCAAATTAAAACTGCAATGAGATATCTCCTCATACCAGTAAGGATAGCTACCATCCAAAAGACAGACAAAAACAAATGTTGGCGAGGTTGTGGAGAAAGGGGAACCCTCCTGTACTGCTGGTGGGAATGTAAATTAGTTCAACCACTATGGAAAGCAGTATGGAGGCTCCTCAAAAAGCTCAAAATAGAAATACCATTTGACTCAGGAATTCCACTTTTAGGAATTTACCCTAAGGATGCAGCAGCCCAGTATGAAAAAGATAGATGCACCCCTATGTTTATCGCTGCACTATTTACAATAGCCAAGAAATGGAAGCAACCTAAGTGTCCATCAGTAGATGAATGGATAAAGAAGAGGTGGTACATATACACAATGGAATATTATTCAGCCATAAGAAGAAAACAAATCCTACCATTTGCAACAACGTGGATGGAGCTAGAAGGTATTATGCTAAGTGAAATAAGCCAGGCGAAGAAAGACAAATTCCAAATGATTTCACTCATATGTGGAGAATAAGAACAAAGAAAAACTGAAGGAACAAAATAGCAGCAGAATCACAGAACCCAAGAATGGACTAACAGTTACCAAAGGGAAAGAGACTGAGGAGGATGGGTGGAAAGGGAGGGATAAGGGCAGGGAAAAAGAAAGGGGGCATTACAATTAGCATCTATAATGTGGGGGAGGGGCAAGGGGGGTGCTGTGCTGCACAAAGAAGACAAGTAGTGATTCTACAACATCTTACTTTGCTGATGGACAGTTACTGTAATGGGGTTTGTCAGGGGGATTTGGTGAAGGGGGGACCCTAGTAAATATAATGTTCTTCATGTAATTGTAGATTAATGATAACAAAATAATAAAAGAAAAAAAAGCAAAAAAAAGCACATGGTTTAAAAAAAAAAGTCAACAGTGTACAGGAATATAAAGTGAAAAGGAAAAGTTTCTACCCTCCATGGTTCTTGCTTCACTTCCACTGCCACACCCTGACCCCTCCATTTTCATTCCCAGGGGTAACCCCACTTTGTTATGTTTTGTTTCAGAAATGTTCTGGGCTTATAAAAACATAGTATCTCTCCCAGTCTCCCCTTTTAAAAACCCAAATGGGATACTTTAAAACACTATGCTGCAGGTTGGACTTTTCTATTTAAAAATATACCTTGGACATTTTTTTCAAATTAGCTTATTTAGAACTAATTTTTTAAACTACTTTTTTGGTTTTTAATTGAACAGTAAATGCATAACAGAGGAAGTGAGAGACAACAGGCTTTAGACAAATATGAAATTACTACTGTAAAAGGCTAACTACATTCCCTCAGGAAGGAGATTAGATGCAAAAAATTCCATTTTCTCCCTCTCACATATGATAGAATTATTATAGCTGGTTAAAACAATAACTTGGGTCTGTGACAATTTTATCATGCCATACAACTAAAAAGCCAGTACTTTTTAATCCTCTGCAGTATAGAAATGAAGGAAAGATGGTCTTCTCCATTGAACAAAGTGATGTCTTTCTTTTAGACCAATGTGACACTTTCCTGAGTGGTTTTCCCTTTTTGTTCTGATTCTTCTCAAATAGGCGGTTTCAGCCCAGGCAAGGTCACTGTAGATTCCCTACAATGTCACAGTGCTCCGAAATGGTTGCTACAATTTCCAATTGTCCTTAAGTTAAGGAAAGAGGTAGGGCAAGTTTACCAGCAGACAAATCCATGACAAATGGGCTAATGATTGGTCAAATGTAAAAAGCTGGCTTGCAAGTCTCTTGGGCCCTTAACTGCCCTGACTGCTGATGTATGAAATTAGCAGCCTCCTGGCAGGCAGGATACCTATTTAAAAAATTCCCCCTTTGGGGGACTTCTCATACACAAACAAGACGGAAGAAAGTTCTCATAGACAAAACAACACAAAGACTGTGGACAAGTGGACAGGAGATGATGTTAAAAGTCAAATTTCACCAGAAGATACTGGAGTCTAATCAGAACCTGCAAATCTGAGTCAAACCTGACATTGAAGGCCAAATGGATAATCAGAGTTGAGTCATTTGCCATCATTATTTGTGTAGGTGTAAATATGTGCACACATTTCCTCACATTCATTGATTTTAGGGCTGGAAGTGATCATCTCTCTTAATAAATATATAAACAGACTAAAAGAGATTATGTAATGACTGAGATCACACAAAACTGGCTAGAACCTAGCTCTCTGGTGAATACAGTTAGTGTAAATATGCCATATATGTAAAAGATGATATATCATATGCATTATGGTCATTCATGTTTGAAAAAAACAGCATCACATGAACTTTCTACTAAAACCTGAGTAAAACCATTCAAGGGCAGGAAGGCCTTGAATTAGGAAGCTGGAAGAGAGTGATGAATGTGTCAGGTAGCCTCAAAGCCAACGGGACGTCAGCCAGGGAGTGGAGATGCCGCAAGGTCGGGGGCACCTGGCAGGCGAGCAGGGTCTGAGGTTCAGGAAGTCTATATAACAGGATCAAGGCCAGGCAGCTGTGGCAGGAGACTGGGGACATGATGTCACCTAGGTCCGAGTATTTACTCTCTTCACTCATTCTGCTCAGCCAGGCCAGGGCTCTGACTACTCCAAAGCCAAGCCTGCATTTAGGGGAAGAGGGAAAGAACAGTGTGTGTCTGGGTCAGAAAGATTCTAGAAGCATCTTTCCTTCAGGTTTTCTCTTTCCTAAGGACTCTCCTTGTTAACTGTGGATTTATAGGTAACCAACTCCATACAATAGTATTAGTTAATGATTGCTGGTTTCTGCTAAGCTGCTTGCTGTCAGGCAGATTTTTCCAATTAATTTCATTTAAAATAGTGGTGCTTAATCCTGGCTGCACATTAAAACCGTCAGGGGAGTTGAGAAAAAAAATACTGATGCCAGAGTCCCACCTCAATCTGGGTTAATTGGTCTGGGCCTAAGTATTGCTATGTTTGAAAAACTCCCCAGGTGATTCTAACAGGTAGCTAGGATTGGAACTAGCGATTCAGAACATCAGGGAAAGTTTTAATTGTCTAATGAATTGTTTTAACAGTTAAAGTAGCATTGTTTACTCCACATCTGGCATGAGTCATTAAAAAGTATTGAAATAATTTTCAGAACATACTGTCTTAGGATTTTCTCATTATCCATTTTTGCTAAGTAAAATCAACATATGGCAGAATTCAGTAATAAATGAAACTGATGGTTCCACTGAACCTCATTACCTTATCTCCATTATCTTCTGTGTCCAAGTCACATCACAAAGATTTGACACAGTAATCATGCCTCTTGACCTTAATGTTGATGTGTTTGAACAGCCTAGAAGGCATGGTACTTAGAGGAGATTCCAGGACATTTTGTCATCATGGGACTTTCTGTGCTGTGGAAATTCAACCAAGAAATCAGTGTGGGCTAGAATAATTAGTAATGTGGAATTCCTGCTTTCCTCTCACTTTTATTTTATCAGGTTAAAAGCACTGCCTCTCTTGTCTCCTAACCTCATCTATTTTTTTCCTTTCCTTTCCTGTTAAGGTATTAGAGAATATAGGAGTAGAAAGACTCACTGATTTATAAAACTGGAAGTATAATTAAAAATCATTCGGTTCAACCACCATCTGAGACCAGAGACAGTCTCAAGATCACATAACTAGGTAATATCCGGAGCTGGTTTTGGACCTGGGTGGCAGACTCCCAAGCCCCGTTCTGTTCAAGATGCCACCTGGTCTTTCAAGGTAGAAAGCTCAAATGTACTCGGGAGGGATTCGTCCTTGCACAACAGGTTCTCCAGCCATCTTATCCTTATTAGAGTAGATCCTTCCACTTCATTATTAACTTATTTTACAGACTTCTCAGACTCATCCTGCTCAATTCGGGACACAATATCTTCTGAACTTTGCTCACTTCTCCCTGCTATTTAGAACCCTGTGCAATATTTTTGTATTTTCTATTGTTATATGCTCCTAGTTGATGTGCATTTATTGAATGCCTGCTGTTGTTAAAAACGTCATAAGGGTTCTAAGGGGAAATACCCGAACAGATGATGCCGCCAGTCGGTGGAGAGCCTGGTTGGGGCTAGACCTGCCGCAGCCCGGCCTCTTCGGTCGCATTTCCCGGCTCGCCCAGTCTGGGTCTCTGCGGGCAGCTCAGGCCCGGGGAGGAGGGCGCTTCAGGCTGGACTTAGGCAGTGGGCCGGGCTTTCCTCGGGGCAGGTGAAGGAACGGCTAACCCTTCGGCGCAGGAGGGGAGGCCCTACGAAGGGGCTTCTGCTCCAGAGGCCGCACGGGAGGAGGGCGGACGGCCTGGCTCAGCCGTGCCCGGGTTCCGCCAGCGGCCTCTCAGGGTGGAGAGGTGGGCCCGGCCGGCGGGGTCGACGGGGCGGAGGGGAAGAGCCCAGGGGAGGGGCCAGGAGGAGGGCCCGGGAGAAGCTGCAGGCTAAGCCTGCGGGAAAGGGCAGGAAGGGGCGCGGACCGGAAGAGGCGGGAGGAGGGGCCTGGAGCAGCCGGGAGAGGAGCCAGCCAGGGGCGGGGGCCGNGGGCCGGGCAAGGGGAGGAGCCGGGAGAGGCCCCCAAGGCCGCCGCCGCCGTCGCCCGGGCGCGTTCTCCGGCGCGCCGGGCTTTCCCTTCGCCAGCTGCTCCCCGAGGCGCGGGCTCTGGCGGCCCCGGGCGACCAAGACCGCCCGCGCGCCGCCGCCGGAGCCGCGGTGCCGCGGAGGCGCGGGCGCGCCCGGGCCGTCGCCGCCTCCCTCGGCGCCCGGGGCCGGCATGGAGCTCTTCCAAGCCAAGGACCACTACATCCTGCAGCAGGGCGAGCGCGCGCTGTGGTGCAGCCGCCGCGACGGCAGCCTCCAGCTGCGACCGGGTGAGGCCGGCGGCGCGGGCCCGCGGGGCCGGGCCGGGCGGGGGGCGCGGAGGGGGCGCGGCTAGGGCGGGCGGGCGGCGGGTACGGGCGCGCGAACTGTCATCATTCCCCGAAGCGAGGGGGCTCGCCTCGGCCCGACCCCTCCGCGGGGATAAAGGGCCGGCGCCCCTCGTTGCCAGCAGCGCGCCTCCGCCTCGGGGTCTGCTCTGCTGCCCTGGGGAGCGGTCCCGACCCGCGCCGGCGCCCACCGGAAAGTTCGGGCGAGGCGCGCCAGGCCTTAGAGGCCTCTTCAACCCTGGAGTGGCCTCCGGCAAGTCCTTCGCGATAAGTTCTGGGTTCGAATCCCGGTCTCGGGCCAGAGTGATCGCGCCAGTTCTGTGGGAAGTCCTGCCGGAGCTACACTCTCTGTGACATCTTTATGTTTCTGGTCCCTTATTATTAAAGGCGTGACTTCATGCTGGTCACTTTATAGGAACCCTATTTAGGTGCCTTCTCTTTCATTTTATTCTTACAGTTAAACTGCATTGTAATGTAAACTTTCAGCATTTTTGTGTGCCTCGGTATTGTGCGATACAGGGTGTTTGCGGATCCATATCTGAGTGTCTTGTAAGCTGGTGTGAGATGCGTTAGGAAACAATTAGTTTGCGTTAGGAAAACTAATGGTTAGTAAAATAGAGAGTCGCTGCCTTCAGAGAGCTGCCAGTCCGGGGCGGTTTCCGTTATGAGGCCTCTCCCTCCCCTTTCAGATCGCCAGTCCTTTTTCCTGATCACCGCAGCGATCTTTCACTTTAGAAGTGAGAGAATAGGGTTCTTCAAATAAATGGCCATATCATTTCAAATTTATTTGTGATTCTTCTGTGTAATCTAGATACCCTGCGGGTCTGGCCAATCCATGGTATAAATTGAAAAGTATAAAAGGTCTAAATGAGCTTTTCTTATGAGAGCAATTATTGTTTATAGGATGGTTTCCAAGGATCTTTTCCTTAATATGTAATTCCCAATCCCACAACAACCTTACAAACTAGGTCGTGCTATTCTCTTTTCAGGTGAGGAGACAGGTGTAAAAGGTTGACTAACTTGCTCAAGGTCACAGGGAGTAGAGGTTTGCTAGTGTCTAGAAGAATGAAGGAGAACTTAACCAATTTTTTGTAGATTTTTGGTGTATTTTCTTGCTATTACATTTTATATCCTCTGTTCGGAATGGAGGAGAAACTACTACACCCAGATAAGGTTCTTGATGATTTTAGGACAAAAGTTGTTGGAGATAGGCTAATTTTGGCCAGTCTTCTCTTTTCTTTTTCCTGATTTGACCATTTGCCTACCTCTGCCCCCAGTTTGAGTAGGGAACTCAAGTGCAGCTTGAAGTTAGATTGCAAGATTCCCCAGGCTGTCAAAAGAGTCAACTCTTCAGTTTGTAAGGGGTTAAGCATTACAGATAAGGGGTTAAACTTAAAATCATCTCCAGCTCATCAGACCACACTTTTCTGTGCCTCTTTCCTCAGTTTAAAAGGAGAGTTGGGCTTCTTAGTCCTTGTTTGTAATGAAAATGCATTTAAAATAATACCATTTTTTAAAATGTTCAGTGCCTGTCTTGGAGGACAAGAGTTAGTGTGTTCATAAAAACTCAGGAAATCGCTAGGAAGTCACCTGTGTATTTGGGCAGAGAATTGAGACACATATAAATAGGGTGGACTTGGTTGACTCCATTTCTAGGGCTAGTCTCTCTTTTCTCTCAGCTTTTAAGATGGACGGAAATGAACCAAGCTGGTGGAATTGAATGGAATGAGGTGAGGTCACAGGAATCCTGAATAGGAGGGGTCTTAAATAGATTATTTGTCATTCTGCTGGTTTGTGTTGGTTTATTGATGGGAAACTCCAATCCCACTGATTGCTTGGGGATAAATTACTCCCCTCAAGTGAAGTAAGTCAACATCATTGGATGCTGGCTAGTGGAGGGATGCTTAAACCTATACTTTTGAGCTAAAGAGCGTGGATGAGCTTTAGGCTTAAGCCTTCCAGAAATATTCACAAAGTAACCAGGGCCTAGATTTTGGATTAAGTCATGTGTTTTGAATGACTGTTTATCTGTTCAAAGTCCAGATCAGAAGGCAAATTTAAAAACTTTTTTTCTGAAGAAAATGATTGTAGTCTTTGCAGTTAAAGTTTATCTCACTTAGGGGTTAGCAGACCACAGTCTGAAATACACCAAAAATCTAGGAGGAAGAGGCCATTATGTTTCAGAAGTAACAGCTTGTTTTGAGCTTCAGTGTTCAAGTGTAGCCAGTGAATGAAGAATCCCATGCACTTGACTTTACGAAATGGTTTTTCTGATCCAGTACTCAAGATCCTTTCTAAAGAACGTCTATCAATAATGGTTCTTTAATTAGATAAGTGCTTTTCAGATCTTTTTCTATAGCATTTAAAATTCTCTTCATTTTATTGAATCTTTTTCCTCTGCTTTTGTGAAAGTTTTGCTATTGTTTGTAATGACAGCATTTAAAATCTTACGTGGTGTCCTATTGGTTATTCAACTGAATAGATTACTGACCAGGTCTTATTTTCCAAAGGACAGTATTATAAAACCAAAAAAGCCTGCTGACATTAATGGTTTTTGCCTGTACTGAGAAATTGAAGCAAGATTTTTCTTTTTCCTAGAGACATCAGTAGAATCAGTATTGATATTTAAGTTTTAAAAGACCATTTCCTTAGCCTGGAATGTTTGTTACTGTCAGCTCCTTTTCCTGCCTCGTTTATTTGGGAGGACCCAGCTCACCCTGTGCTCACCCTAGCTCACATTCCTGGGGCAAGATTTTTGGTCATCTGTATTTTGTTCCAGGTGCTTTATAAACTTAGTACACACTTTGGGTGTAGCCCTTACTACATCATATAATAATAGTTTGCTTGCTTCTTCCCCAGTGGAGAGTACATCCTCCAAGGTAAGGACTACACTTACCTTGGGATCTCTGGGCTTAGGAGGAAGAAGGCATTTTTGGTTGAGTTGAGAGAAATTAAATTGAAGTCCAAGTGTTGTCTCAGTAATATGACTGCCATAAACATAGATTGTTGTGTTATGCTTATTACTCATTTTGGATCCTGATTTGAATATCTTCTAATTGGGGTGGAAAATCTCTGTCCATCTGGGTGAGAAAATAAATATGAGGAAAGGTGCATTTCCACTTGTGTTATTTTCTATCTGGTTTAGCATCACCTTTTTTTTTTGAATCTCTGAGGTAGTATTCCTTATTTTTTTCAACATTGTTTAATGTTTTTCAACTTCTTCTAGCTAAACAGTTGAGTTATTATATTTTTCTAATGTTTCTGTTTCTTCAAGGGTACTGAGTAGACTATTTATACACAGGCTTTTTCGTGGATGCTCATGTCTTGCAAGGGAATGACTATTAGAGAAAAATAATCAGGTTGTTTATTTTATTCTCTACCAGGGAAAATGTTAAACAGTGTAAACATTCAGTAATCTCCTGAGAAAGGAGTTTTACTATGAGAATAAGGACTGTAATTTAAAGATGTAAAAATGTAAAAAGAAATATAATACAGTCCACTGTTGGCAAAGGGTGATGTGATCTTATCTCTTCAGTCTTAAAATTACTTCCACTAGTCACTGTGGCTTTGTCTGATATGATGGTGTTATATAACTTATTGCTGTCTATTCCTTCATTCTATTCTGAGCCCAAATGACCACAAAAAGAAGCATCTGTCATCTGTGCAACATTCATAAGCATGTAAACTATACAGAGAGATGATAACTCTGAATGATGAATACCTAGTGAACAGTGCTTTGAAGGGGATACTAGCTATCGGTTAAAATTTGTAGAAACATAGAAGAGTGTTCCTTTTCTTCTAGTTATTTTTTGATAGTGGAATTATTTTTATGAACTTTTTTGAATGAGAAATTATGGTTATGGAATTGAAATCCACATAGAACATTTATCTCTTTTCAAGAATCATTTATTAAACAATATTTAGTTCAGAGTTTTGTGTCATTTGCTATTTACCTTGAAAAAAAGATTTTGAACTTTACCTTTTTTAAAAATCATGTTTGCCAAAAAAATTCACAAATGACAATGACAAAATATAACAGCTTTTAAAAATTTTATTTCATTAAAGTATAGTTGATGTACTATACTGGTTTCAGATATAGAACATATAGTGATTTGACAATTATGTATATTACTAAATGCTCACCACTACAATTATGTATATTACTAAATGCTCACCACTACAAGTATAGTTACCATCTGTTCTCATAGGAAGATGCTACAATAGTATTGACTATATTCCCTATGCTGTACTTTCATCCCCATTTTTAAAAAGTTTTAGGTACATTTATTTTTTGATTTTTTTATTGCTCTACAGTCTTAGTTTCAAATATACAATGATTAATTTATAATTAGAAGTTTATAACTCTGTCCTCTTTACCTATTTCACACCCCCTCCCCCTCTCCCCGCCAACTACCCCCCATATGGCAACACCAGTCTATTTTCTGTGTTTATGAGTCTATTTCTGTTTCATTTGATCATTTATAACCACGTGTAAGTGAAATCATATGGTATTTGTCTTTCTCTGTCTTATTTCACTTAGCATAATACCCTCTAATTCTACCCATGTTGTCACAAATTGCAAGATTTTATTTTTCTTTATGTTATGGCTAATATTCCATTGCATATATGTACCACATTTTATCCATTTATCTACCGATGGATGCTTAGGTTGCTTCCATATGTTGGCTGTTGTAAGTCATACTGTAGTAAACTCAGGAGTGCATATATCTTTTTGAATTAGTGATTTTGTTTTCTTCAGGTAAATTCCCAGAAATAACTAGGTTGTATGGTATTTCAATTAAAAATTTTTGAGACACCTCATACTGTCTTCCATAGTGGCCGCCCGATTTATATTCCCACCAGTAGTGTGCAAGAGTTTCCTTTTCTCTATATCCTCATTGACACTTCTTATTTCTTATCTTTTTGATAATAGCCATTCTGCC